TACCAACACATCTTAATTCAACTTTGAATGACGTTCGTTCATCCTACGTTCCTCTTTCATCCTTTGAATGAGCTTGTTAGCAAAGAAATAAAAAAGGTGAGAAAATACCTTTCCAATGATACCCCACAAGTCGAAATCGGAAGAGTTTAGGTTCAGTAATTCAAGTTTTTCTTATACCAATCTTTGAAAAAAGTTAAACTATTTTTATTCATAAAAAACTTCATTTTTGGAGGTATTTTCAAATCGGTCCAGCTCACTTAAATCTTAATATTTTTCGGAAATATTTAGGTGGACGTCTTAAAATATAACAGATTTTATAATTCCAATGGAAAAACAGTACCGTTTTTTTCTGTATGGGGAGTGATGCAGTTTAATGTACATATATAATATGTACGTACATATGTATATACATAGATTACTAGCGGCCCGGTACGTGCTTCGCTACGTATAAAGTGAAATATTAAATCAAACTCATTTATAAAAAAAAAAAATATATTTAATTATTTGCTAGCTATTTTAAAACTTAATCTAAAACATTTGGATAAACAATATTTTTTGTTTTTCAATTTTGAGCATGAATAAACAAACGGCTGGGGGTACCGACTCTGGAACAGGCAACATAAAGTTGGCCATGTGAAAAACATGATTCCTCCAAATTCACACCACAAACGTTAAGTGTTTGCCCTTGAGCTTTGTTGATGGACATCGCAAATGATAAACGCACAGGATATTGTAATCGTTTGAATTCAAATGGCATATCAGTTGGAATCATAGGGATACGCGGTATTAAACAAACTTCTCCTTTTGATTTACCAGTTAAGATGTAGCTTCAATCAAATTTGGCAATAAATTTTTCACTGCCAATCTGGTGCCATTACACAGTTTTGGTGGATTAATATTTCGCAATAATATAATCAAAGAACCCACTTTCAGATTCAAGCAGTGCGGTGGCATACCAGCCGGTTCTAATGAATTTAAAAATTCAGTTGGATAATTCATTGCCTCATCTTGATTCATAGCACTGTCAATTGATTTATATGTCGTGACTACACCTGGGAGTTTTGCTTGAATTTGAAAATTAATGGCATTGATATGAATGTTCTTCGGTGCTAAAATGGCGCGTTCTCTCAACCAATCATGATTTCTGTAATTCTGAAGAATATTTGGAAAAACACATTCAATCAATTCATCTATCGATTTCGTAATTGTACAAAAATTGTTCGGTACAGTGATCAATCCGTTGGTTCTGTCGATTTGTATTTTGCCATCACCAATTTGTAACAATTGTTTTGAAAACTCATGGGCAGCTGGATCATTTTGTAGGTGAATACGCATATTAATGTTCAGTGTAAATTTTTGTACATATCTCCAAAGAACTGATGACTTCAAACAGGCATTTATTTCATCAGCAGGAGTTGACCGAGGAATGACAGGCAATGTTTGTCGAAAATCCTCTGACAGTAATATCAAAGCACCACCAAAAAGCTGTTGGTTACCACGTAAATCTTGCATTGTTCGATTAAATGCTTCTAGTAATTTTTTATTCGCCATTGTACACTCATCCCATAAAATAATTGACGTTAATCGCAGAACTTTTGCCATAGCAGAATTTCTTGAAATATTGCAAGTTGGAGTTTCAATCACCTGTACATTCAATGGCAATTTTAATGCAGAATGTGCTGTCCGACCACCTTCTAATAATGTAGCAGCAATTCCCGAAGATGCAAGTGCCAATGCAATTTTCTGTTCCGATCGAATAGTGGCTAAAATCAGTGATATAACGAACGTTTTGCCTGTACCACCAGGTGCATCCAAGAAATATAACCCACCTGCATTATTGGAAATGGCTTGTATGATTGTGTCATATACATGTTTTTGCTGAATATTCATTTTGGTTATATTCGATTGTACAAATAAACGCAAATCATTAGAATTGAATTCCTGCTCACGTTGCAATTCACGATCAAACAGATCATGCATGTCACGATTTGGTGCGGTCATACCCAATTGTACTAATGTTTTATTTGCAATCCGTAGACACATATCTTCAATTATTATCAAAGCTTCGTTGTACATTTCCAAAGTTATCAACAAATCAGGATTTCTTGCATGATGACGCATACGAATTAAAATATCTTCTGCAATATTATGTTTATATTTATTCCATAATTCAAGTGGATCTGATGGCATACATGTTGATAATATAACGGCAAACAGCATTCGTATTTGTTGAGGATGAACCGAAATAGATGCATCATGAAGTGTTGAATCCCAATGTGCATCATCCTCCAACAAATGCAAAAGTTGGCATGCTTCACGGTATGTTTCACACAAATGACCGTTGACTGTTCTCAATTCTTGAAATGATTTTGGGCCATTCACGTTAACTAATAACAATCTCAAATAAAAACACTCAACATTGTTTGGATGTACTGTATATATTCTGCCAATTGCATCTGTTTGGAAAATGTCAGGATGCCCATGAACTGCTGTTCCTTGTTTACGTCTTTGAAATTTTTTCGAAGACACATTCCATGTGTAATACTGAGGCACTTCAGAATATAACAAAGTTATCGCAAATGTATCAGTTTCGCATAATTTGAAAAAAGCTGTTAACGTAGTTGCTGGTGGTTGCGCTGCTCTTTCCAATAAATTTGCTACATTAAAATAAACACCTTGGCCATTCTCAAGATGTACAGCCAAGTGAACAACCGCAGGATGTCTTTCGTGCATTGGAAACGACATAATCCTCCATACAGCTTCATTGCTACTAATATAGCGACCCATTTGATACTGAGTAATTTCATCATTTCTATTATCACCAGCAACACCGAAAATAGCCATATCGCTCCCTTTATTTACATACTTGCAAATATATTTAATGGATTTGACAGAATTACAATATTCCACATTTATATGAGCGTTGAATATTTTCGATAATAATGGACAATACGGAACCACTTCAACTTCCTGGTTATGCATTCTAATGGTTGCCGTTTTGCCATTATCATTAGGTGATCTACGTCGATACAACGGATATCCGTCATTGCCCGTTATTGTGTCTGAAGTAAATTGCCTTGGGTATCGTTTCGAACACTTTTCATCAATCATACATGGTGAATTCACATTTAGTTCACCGCACGGTCCATGTATCATGTTTTTAACGACAACTTGAAATAACTCAGGATCAGCAGTGTGATTAGGAATTTCAGCTGATATAAGGTTATCGATTTGATCCGGAGTTATTTTATGTACCAGCCAAATTAGTATATGTGCGTGCGGCAATCCCCTTTTCTGCCATTCGATGGAGTACATATGGCAACGCACCTCCCCAAATACATATAATTTCACAATTAAATCCATAAGTGCTTTACATTTTTGCCGAAAAACACGCGCAGTAATGTCATGACGATCGGTTGTCGACTGTCCTGCAAATAAATTGTTTTTGATGTCATCCCACTGCGAGTTCCCAATTGGTTATATCTGGAGTCCTTAGTTACCCAGCGAAAAGAAAAGTCCTCTTTTCATTAGCATTTATCAACAACTTACAATGGATACTCATGTGGTTCAAACACATCCTAGGGTTATCCAGGTCCACGTTTTGGTCTATATCTCGAGACCCTAGTTACGGAGGGGCATTAAAAATACTCTATACTATAGCAATCATCAACAGCTCCCATTTGCTACCCATATTGTACAAACACATCCTTAAGTTATCGGGGTCCACATTTTGGCCGATATCTCGAGACCCTAGTCACGGAGCGGCATCAAAAATACTCTATACTATAGAAATCATCAACAGCTTCCATTTGCTACCCATATTGTACAAACACATCCTAGGATTATCCGGGTCCACGTTTTGGCCTATTTCTCGAGACCCTGGTATCCGATTCTTAAAATTTCAAAACACAAACCATCTACTGAATAGTCCAAACAAAGCCTAAAAATTTGGTTTTGATAGGTGAGCCCGTTCTTGAGTTATAAAGTCACAACGAAAAATGGCATTCATTTTTATATATATAGACTAAAAGAAAAACAGATCCCCATTGCCTGCAATCAACCAGGGCTCGAAAATTCTCACTCACATTCTCTCACGTTCATGATCGATAATATTCCAAATCAATTTTTGCATTCTTTCTTTTGCATGCAAACAAATTTATCATCTCTCACATTCGGAATGTGATCTACAAAAAAATTTCCGCTGCTTTTCATTCGCGATCGAAGAAAGCAAAGAAATTTCCTCTCACTCGAATATGAGAAGTCCGAGCATTGCCGATGTCGGCCTCTCATAAATGTGAAAAACGATGCAAAGAATCCATTCGCGATCACTCACAACGGCTTATCGCGATAAACTTATCGCGAAAAATTTTCAACGACGTTATATGGGAGATATTTTTCGCGTTTGTTTTGGGTATGCATTTTGTTATGCATACAGCATACATACATATGTACATATGTATATGTAGGTAATGCAAGCAAATGCTTTTCGGTTGGAAGTAGGGTGGCCAGATGCGCTGATTTAATCAGTACGTGTGCTGATTTTTTTCTATTGTACTGAGTTTTAAGAGCCCGAAATCAGTACGCAAAATCTACTGATTTTTTGAGTTTGTACTGATTTTGTACTGATTTTTACATTTAATACTTTTGTAAATTGGTGGAATTGACATTTACTTGAGGTTTACATGTTCAAAACAATGGTTTTTGACAACTCATACATGTGAGCAGATTGAAAGCATTAATTAAATTTAAACCATTACTAAAAAGGTGTCAGCTTGCAATTATTTCGTTTCCTGGATTTCGCAAAATAACAAACTGTTTGGATTCAACCCAACCCAACTTCACGATTTGCAGGTTTTACAGGATTTACAGGAAAAGCTGGTTTCGCCATTAATAAATCTTATGAAAGGTGGTGGTGAGTTAATTATATATTAAGTACACTGAGAAGATGACAATAATCTTTCAGTTATAATTAAACATCCACTGAGAAATCGGCTGTGAGTATTTCAAACGACTACTGCTACGGTGGAATGTAAGTTCTAAAAATTTGGAAAAGGTGCAAACTACCGACTCTTGGATATGATATATGTAACTTTACTTTGATTTTAGATGTTCGACCACCTGTAATTTTACTTGCACATACACATTTAACACTATTAAATTTCATTCGTACTCGAAAATTCATTTAGCGATAATTCGGTAATATACCTTTTAGTCAACATTTTAATGTGAATGTTGTATTTAATAAGCACACCAACTAAATATGTTTTAAATTTGTAGCTTAAAATATGCAAACAGGTTCTGACTCGAGCTCGTCTTCTACTGAAACTGAATGGGCTACAATTTTTTTTTCTCAATTCCTATAAATTTTCTAGAAAGTTTGAGACTTCAACTCACATGTCTTTTGTTATAGAATTAACTATATTTTTATAAAAAAATTAAATTAAGTAAGGAAAGAAAAAATTTTCAAAACCTGTCAATACATTTTACTACTATTTTCCTGAGCACAGCTGTACATACATACGTAATACCATTGATTTGTTTTAAAGTAATAAATTTTTGTATTGATAATACTATACGTATTTAAAAGTCTATTAGTTATTTTTTTTTTAATTAATGCACTTTTATTTGGCTGTTATATTGTTAATAATAAAAATACGCTTAAAAATGAGCTGATTTTTATGGCTCTGTACTGATTTTTGATCCCAACTGTACTGATTATATCCCTATAATATCTGGCCACCCTAGTTGGAAGGAATGTACGAATATGCACAAATATATGAATTATGGTGGTAATATATATGTATGTACATATATGTAAATTACATACATGCATACGTGTAGTTAAAGTACGTTCAAAGCGTACACTTTTCAGTATAATGGTGTATCTGCATGTTATTTTATTATAATGATTGCGTTTATTTATTATATCTAATAAATGGAACTTAGTGGGGATAAGATTGACTAATGAGAAAAGTGGGCGTCTGGTGAAGACGGAGAGTAAAGAAAAGCAGAAAAAAGCAATACATATAAATTTTTTATTTCTTTTAAATGTTTCGATTCGCCATTATACGTATATTAATAAGAAACCAAAAATATACACACGTAAATAGAATGTATGGATGTATGTATTACTTAGAAGAAAACTCAAAAAAACGAGGGTCTGCATTTCATACCCACCAGCAAAAAGTTTCACTTCTGAAAAAAGTAAGCGAGTTAGTAATACATAGGTCGCGGGGCAGGTAACGAGGCCATTTCGTTGTAAGAGAAAAATATTTTTCGTTTTTGTCCTTTTCTAGAAATTTTAATACTAAATTCATATGAACCAGTGTAGCGCTATATCCCTGCATATGCGAGTTGCTGATTTCTTAACTTCCTAGCAAGATGCTCAAGTGATAAATTTTCCAGCATACGCGAGTCAGATATGCAAATAACCGATAAACTGATATTCCCAGGTTTGCAATTTTGTAAGATATGAATTTCGTAAGACATTGGCCGTGTTAAAATTCATCAAAGTGGGTGTCTGGTGAAGACTGAGAGTAAAGAAAAGCAGAAAAAACAATACATATAAATATATTATTTCTTTTAAATGTTTCGGATCGCCATTATTAGGATATTAATAAGAAACCAAAAATATACACTCGTAAATAGAATAAGAATATGGATGGATGCATGTATTACTTAGAAGAACCCTCAATAAAACGAAGGTCTGCATTTCATACCCACCAGCAAAAAGTTTCACTTCTGAAAAAAGTAACCGAGTTAGTAATAAGACGCGGGGCAGGGAACGAGGTCATTTCGTTGTAAGAGAAAACAAATTTTTGTTTTTGTCATCATTATATAAAATAACATGCAGATACACCATTATACTGAAAAGTGTACGCTTGGAATGTAACTTATTAAAACACTTGGTTGGGTTTTAATGTTATTTAATTTCTCTTGCTTGCACAAGAGCAATTATTAAAACACTTGGTTGGGTTTTAATGATATTTTGTTTCTCTTGTTTGCGCAAGAGCAGCCGTTTGTATCGGTCGAGTTATTACAACTGAATTTGCTAACTAAAATATTGCGGCGACTAGGCCTAAATATCTGACGCTTTCTTACCTCCTACCAGTTGCTGCACATGTTTTGCCGTGTGACTTGCAAAATGCAATTCGGCAATTTTACCTCTTGCTGTTGGCTTTTCCGCTGCAGCGATGTTGTTGTTGTCACGCGCTACCTGGTCGACGCATCGTCATCAATATCGGTGGGAGAGTTGTTGCTACGCTATTTCCACACTCAAACCTGCCGACGCAC